ATCTTCAAAATTATGCTTGTTAAAAGCTTCTATTATTCTAAATATCCCATGGATATCAACACAGTATACTTGTTTTCATACAGGAGAAATGTGATACCTGTAGGAATGAAAAAGCTTAGGCACGATAAGCATCTGAATGCTTCTCTTTCTCCATCATTACCCTGCTCATCCAGTGCAGGAGTTGCACTAGTAGTGGAACTTACATTCTCAGAACCTTGAGCATCAGGTGCGTACGTAGGGTGATCATCAAACTTCCTTTCAGGTTTGCGTTTATGGCGAATCTTTGGCTTTCTTCTTATCAGGATAACCCTTCTGGTAATACAAGAATTACAATTAGGGCAGTAGAGATCATGTGTGTTTTGCATTTTTAAAACCCCTTCTACATCTAGTTCCGTGAATTCCTCTTCAATTTCTTCTATTGAGTCAAAATCTTCATCTACATCTACATCTACATCTACATCAGTTCTTTGGTCAAAATGCTTAGAACCTGCTTCTGGTGTATCAAATGACTTTTCAGGTGGAGATGATCTCAAACCAGAAACATTTACACTCTCCACAATTTTCCCACAGCAGTTACTGGATCCAGCAATATGAATTCTCTCGGACTGAATTTCAGAAACTACATTGGTGGATTCAGTGCCTGCAACCAGAAAAAGCATATAAACAACATTTACACATCAAAGATTAGTTAAGAAAATTTGGTGATACTCCTCTGAAAAAAAAAAAAAAAAAAAAAACAGAGATTCTAGACTATTATATAGATTTGATACCTAAATTCATTGTATGAATTACGTAGAGCTCAAATGAAGAAAGAGATCCTACTCAATGTTGAATTTCTCCTCGTCGGCGGCAGCAGCAGAAAATCAAACGTGAAAATGAAATTCAAATATAAACTAGTAATTGAGGAATAATACCTTCAAGTTTGTCGAAGTACACACCGCTTCTGATTCCACCTCCTCCTCCATTTTCTTCTAAATTATCACCGCCGCCATTTCCGTTCTCGTGCTCCACATCTCGTTCCCTGTCATCCACTTCTTCTTCTCCTTCTTGCTCAGCAGAAGCTTCAGATTCAATTCCGCCGAGATCAGCAGCAGGCTCACTGCCATTAGTAACAGCAGAAGCTTCAGATTCAATACCGCCATGATCATCCCCAGGCTTGCTGCCATTACTACCAACCGGATTCGCATCGAGATCAGGTTTCCTATACTGCCTCCTCCGCAGCGCCACGTTATCCTCGACTTCCACCTCTTCCACTTCCACTTCCATTTGGCGAACGATCTCAGTGCCTAATTAGCAACCTTTTGGAGAGTCCAAGTGTCCCACCGCCACTATTCTGTTCTGCCCACGAGACAAAAAGAGAAAGCAAAAGCAAGAACTAATTGTTAGTAATTTAATAATAGTAAGTTTGGGGAGGAGAGGCATTAATTGGAGGTGAAGTGACTGGTGCGGTGGGAGCAGAGCGTGGGCTCTGACAAACACACGCCAACGCGACAGCACACAGCAGCCAACACACTTCCCAATATCATCGATAATAATAACATCAGACAATTAAGCGGTGCAGTCGGATTCCACATCAGTGATTGTGAGCCGTTGGATTTGTTTGTGATCTGGAGAGAAAACGTTACCGTGGAGGATGGGTAAGAAAGGCGGGAAAGCGATCAACGTCGTTGCTGTCGTTGTTGATTGCTTGTTAGTCAATTTATGCGGGATTTGTTCAGTGGTTTCATCCGGAAAAGGATGGGAGAAGCAGTAGTTGGTTAATTTATCACTAATGATAATGTTTTTAAGAACAAAAAGTCATTAATTGCTCGTGTTTTTGTACTCATTTAGTTCACTTTTAATAAATTTAATTTAAAATTTTAATAAACTCAATTTAATTTTTTAATTTTTAAGTTATAAATTTTAAATAAAAATTTAATAATTTATATTAATAATAATTAAAATTTTTCTGTCTCTATAAATAGTTTTTGTTAAATATTTGTATTTGGCAAAAATTTTTAATTATTATTTATATAATTTATTAA